TTGAGAACCGATCGAATCCAGAAATGCGAACTCCATCCTGGAAAAAATATTTGCATTCTCTGAAAAATTTTTCCCGTAATGATTGTATTTCTAATTAACATTTGAGGAAGTAATTTTTGCTTAATAAATAATATATTTTAAATTCGAATAATTACTACATCCACTTAGATTTATTGAAGATCGAAATTTCGTAGCCGTAACACGAGATAACGCTCTCCACTTTTGAAATTTGCTCTTCAGCTGACTCATTTATAACATTCAACCATTTCATATTCGACCGTTTAATGCACTAATATTTACGAGAATTAAAACAACAATTTAATTTATAAATTGTTGCCTTATTTCTGAACAAAAATTACGTGTTCATACGTTATATCCGCGAGAATTTCACTTCCTATAATAAACAGTCTCTTCTTGTTTTAGCATAATTGAAGAGGATGAAATCGCTTTATCATTCACTCATATTTCAACTTTTCTTCTGCACTCTGCTATAGTCTCATCTTCTTTCACCTAAAATAGGCCAAAGCGGATAGTTAGCCAGTTCTGGTGTGTGTAATTAATTGCCGAATCTGAATTCTATATTACACAAGTATAATAGTATTACGAAAAATTTATCGATCATTTTTATAATGCACTAATCTGAATCGTTTCAGTTACCATTAGGCAGAACTATATTGATTGAACCGATCGATGACATTAACGCTTCGATTGATTTTAGTATTTTTAACCCTTTCAAAATACTAACATTTGTTTTAGCATCTTTTTAAAAATATTAACATGAAAATATTTTTTAATTTTTAACATTTTCTTATCAGTGAATGGATGCATTGCTTATTGATTAAAATTATGATATTATTTTATTAAGTATTCTTCACTCGCCCATCTTTTTCATCGTATCGTAATTGCGAGAAATATTTTATATATAACATTTGAAATTAATTTCTTATATAATATAGTATTTCAATTACATGCTTTTTAATTTCTTACATTTATGTTTCTTTTTCTTCGTTTAAATTAACTTTATTTTCTTAGATTTTAAATGTATAACAAATAATATCATATTGTTTTCAATATTTCCGAATTCTTCAGTATTGTTTTCAATGTTTTCCGGATTCATCAGAATCCATCAATGTTTCTGAATTCATCAGTGTTGAACAATCGAAAAACAAATCAGAGAAGAAAAAATTTTATTATTATAAAATTTAAAATATCATAAATTTAAAATATATATGTATAGGAGGAATAATTATTATGAGTGATAGCGATAATAAGGAAGGAATGAAAAAATACTGCTTTACACTATCATAAGATTATTACAGGAAGAATTTTTCCCGATCATCAATCAATTCATTTACTATTATTATTATACAGTAATCGTATAATTTGTTATTTGAAACAAATGGAACTAAAAAAGAAATATTTAATATTTTCACCAAAAATAAAATAGAAAAGAAAAATTTGAATATTTTACACATATGTAAGAGCCATACTGCCACAAATAGAGAAAAAGAAGAAAAGAAATATTTAGGTTACAATTCATAAAGAAATTTTCATTTGATTTAATTAAAATTATTTTTAGGTTAAAAAAACAGGTGGTGTATATAAATTTAGAAAAAAACAAAAAATATATTTTATGAATAATTTGGCACAAAAAGGCACAAACGGTGAGCCATCACAAAATGATAAAGTAATGATAATAATGACATTGATAAGATATTGATTTGATAAAAACATTTAAAAGGAATAAATTTTAATTATGTTAATTTATTGTCATATAAATAATATAAATTAATTAATAAATAAATATTTTTAATAAAAATTTCAAAAAGGAAAAAATGAATAAATAACGAATAAATGAATGAATAAAATGAAAACTGTACACAATAATCACAGATATGCTGAAATTCGGCGTTGCATTTATATTAAAAAAAGAAAATAGGAAAACAAAGAAAAAGAATTAATGAAGAAAGAACAATAAATAATTATGTCATTTCTAATTAATCAGATAAAAGACAAAAAAAAGAAGTGGAAAGAATTCAATTATTTCTATAATTCGAATTTGAATACTGCTTATAGAATAGAATCGAATATGAATAATAGATATCCTGAACTTTAATAAAATATGAATTATATAATTTTTTGTTTTCATACAAATTTCATTTTATTAACTAACCTGAATTATCTTTGGTTATATTACCCTAAAAGAAAGAGATTTTTCATTTTCATAAATTAGTGAAAATTTGAATAGTTTAAATAAAATTAAATTTAAATTTATTTTTATTGCATATCTTATGATATTGCTTTTACTATATAGTTATTAAAAAAATTATAATTTTTCTAATTATAGCTTATAATAGGAGAAAAGATATTAAATAAAACTTGGAAGATCACCGAAAATTGAAGAATTCATTAATATTAAATAAAAAAATGTATATTAATTAGAAGACAATAAAAGGCAATTAAATTCAAATACATATCAAATATAGAATTGAATCGTTATCTTTTGGACTGAAATATCACAAAAAATTTTACAGGAATGGTTAATGAGTAAAAAAAATTAATTAAAATAATTTATCAAAAATTGAAAAGAATTTCAGATTTTTATTCGAGACAAAAGAAAATTGAATGATAGAAATTGAAGAGGAAGAGATAATTAAGATATTTAAAGAAGAAAAAACTGATCCAATAATATCGTCGTATCATTTTTCCGCTCAAACACTCAAATACTAGTTCATTAATTAAAATCAAAACTTTTTAATGAAATAATTAAAACCAAAATTTTTTAACGAAATAATTAAAATCAAAATAATTAAAATCAAAATTATTCAAATTTTAAATTAAAAAACAATACATCTTTTTTATAATATTAAAAGTTAAATTCAATTAATAATAAAATTGAATTAATTTGCAAAATTATTAAATTTGAAACGGTAAAATGGTACTTTCAAAAAAAAGTTAATTATTTTGGAAAAAAGATTTTATTAAACACATAAAATTACAAATAATATAAATAATTTTAATACTTTTCAATCATTTCAAAAAGATAATAAGAAAATTGAAATAAATGAAAATTTGAAAAATAAATTTCATTTATTTTCTTCGTCTTTTATATTTACCGTTGTTGTTTGAATTATCATTCTTCCTTACCCATCGAATATTTTATTGAGTGCCGTTATTAGTGGTATATTTCATTCGATCACCACTACCTGTAATTTTAATTCTAATTCAAGGATTCTTTTTTACATTATTCTTCATGCTGTAATTTCAACAGATTATAATTCCAACTTATTATTTCATATTAAATTTCACTAAAATAGAAAGTAATAGAAAATGAATATGAAATAATGAATTAACGAAATGATGGATTAATTTATTAAATGAAAAGAAATTTTTCAAACAAATATTTATTTTTTTCATAAAATTTATTTCATTCCATTTTAATTAATTAATTTCAAAGAAGAAAAAATAGGAATGATTTTTTAATTACCAAAATATCTTTCCTCAGGTATACGATGATTTTTCTGAGGATCTCGTTTTCCTTTTGGACAACGACAAAAATCACCGCAAAATGGATGTGCAAAACCACATTCATCGGCTGTATTTGAGCAATTTGGATAGTAGCTAAATTCATTAGTAAATTAATTAATGTATTATATTAATTTAATTAAAAAAAGAAAAGGATGAAAAATAGTCTAACAGATTGGTACAAAATTTTTATACTGTAAATATCATTGAAATATATAAGCTGTCAATAAAAATTCATTAAAAGAAAAGAAATAAAATAATTTCTAAAATATATAAAAAAATAAAATGAAAATGAGAAGAAATAATAGAGGAAAGATTTTGATCGATTTTTTAAATATAAAATAATTTGGAATAAGTTACCGGCATTGCTCCCGCGGATGCCAAAAACGGCATGGAAAATCGAGACGATGTTTGGGGTTATTCCAATGAATGCATTGCGGTGCTGGCTTATTAAATTTACCGCCACGTTCAATTACCATTTGATCCCATTGTGACATTTGGGTTGTTACTGAGGTCGTAGTTGATGTATTTCGTTGTGATGTTGCATTTATTACATTTGAACATTCTAAAACTATTTTGAGTAATTAAGTATTTTATTTAAAAATTTTTGAAATGCCTCTTACCTTTTATGGAATTAAACGATGGCTTGTTGCTATTGTCAAGCGGTTTAATACCCTTTACAACAGATGAGTAATATAATGGACTTCCAGCAGCTGGTAATGGTGGATATTCATTTACATATTCCGTTGCATCATAAGTCTGAAGATAAATTAAAATTTTTGAGAAAATTTTTTGTTAATATTTTTTGGAAAAAAGTTTAAAAAATTTAGAAATATTTAAACTTATCTAAAGTTTAAGTTAAAAAACTAAACTTATCTAAAAATTTAAGGTGTGCTAATCTAAAGTTTAAGGTATCGTCTTTTTGAAGTGAAGAAATGAAAAAACAATTTTTGCTTAAAGATAAATGAAAAAATTTAGGACTAATTTTAATATTAGCAAAGTTATCGGAATTTTACCGTTTCTTGGCCATACGATTGATGATCCATAGCATGATTTGTTTTCTCATCCAAACTTTTGTTACATTCCAATCCCCAGCTATTTTTATCACCTATAAATTATAATACTGTCAAGTAAATTAATAGCGATTGAAAAATAGCTTAAATAGGTTGTAGATGCATTCAAAATAATTATTAATAATTAGACTAATTTGCTTTATTTCGGAACAAATTCAAAAAGTGTAATTTTATAATCTTAAACTTACAAATCATTTCCAGAAAGTAAAAAAAGAAAAACTATTTTTCAAATTTCAAATTTTGTCATTTTCGTTGGTTAATTTTAAAAATTATTTTCAAATGTATTTAGAACTAATTTCAAATTAATTTACCATTTTCTTTGAATACACAAACATTATCCTCCTCATCACCATAATCATCTTCATCCTCGCTGAATACTTCAATTTTAGCCTCCTTCTGACTTTTTGAATCCTCCTCTACTTCATTATTCTACAAATAATACAATAAAACACTAGTTTATTAATAAATGATCCAGAATTCTGGATTATAATCCAATATGCGCAAATTATAACGAGATTATAATCAGGTTTTCACAATTACTTACATTGTAATAAAATTATTGGAAATGATTCAACGAATTTAACAAATCTCAGATTTCAACGAAATTAAATAATACGAAATAGGGATTGATTTCTTGTAGGACTAAAAAATTATAATTTGAATGAAATATTATAAGATGTGATACATGCAATGAAAGTGCTAAATGTAATGTTTTACTTGTAGATTTTATATAATGTGGAAAAAAATCTGATCTACGTAAATAACGTGATATGTGTGATGCATGATGATACGTGTTAAATGTAAAGCATTATTCATGAAATTTATATTTCATGCAAAAATTAGTATAATTAAAATTTTCATATACTCAAACAGTCTATGTATAATAATACCTCATTTTGCTGATATCCATTTACCGTATCATTTAGATTGCAATTATTAGCTTGTAGTTGTTGCATAACTTGTTGAATTTCATGTTGTTCTTGTACAAGTTGTGATGTTGCAACAGCCATTTGTGCAGCTGCATATGGATCAAAAGTAGTGGTTGGTGCTAAATGTTGTAGCATTGCAGCATGTGTTGTAGCATTTGCTGCTGCTGCAATATTAAATACTGCAGCAGCAGCAGCTGCTGCTGCTGCTGCTGCTGTGGAAGTATCAGGATGATGTGTGATAGCAGGAGGAGTGATATCTAAGCGAAATGGAAATGCCAATTGCTGCATGAAATTTAATGATGACATCATTGGATACGGTACGGTTAACGGTGATGTTGCGGTGTTCAAGTTGTTACCGATTGTTGCTTCTAATGTTGCCATATCCGTTGGTGCATTGGAGTACGGTATATTAGGCCTAAAAATCCTTATTAAATACCATAGAAATGCTAGAAGAGGGATAATAATATCTTACAATCCATCTTATCGTTTTTAAAGATAATCCTACCAAAATATCAGTGGTATATATATCAATCAGTATCTGTTGTTTTGTTATTAAAAGCTATTAATGATTTTGAAGTGCATGTGGGACACGGTGTTAATGATGCATTTTAGTGTTACATGGAAAAATGATTCAGGAAAATCTTTCAGGTGAAATTGAAAATTATTTAATAACAAAACGATAAAGAATAACATGTATCAATAAGAGATCGGAAGAAATTAAAGAAAATGGAAATAAATGAGAGTGTGTATTTTAAATATTATTCTTTTAAATCAATTTTAATAATTAAAAAAAATATGAAATTATACTCTTTTTCATTTGATGCTTTGATTAGCTTTGCAATTTTGATGTTGGATAAGAAATGTGCATTCGCTAAAATTTCCAAACGGCAAACATCCGTGGTAGAAGCTACCGGAATGCCGTTATTCGGCGAACAAGCCCGGATACGTGCTTCAAATAACGATATTGCACTGAAATTTGGAACAAATTTTAATTTGAGAAAGTTTGACTGCGATTACAACACACCATAATACACCATTTCATACATATAATATTGCAGGAATTATCATTTTGACCTAAATTCCGACTAAAATCATTCTGCTCCCAAATTTATAATAACGTTTCCATTCTTAAATTAATGAAACTATTAACATTGCTGATGAATTTAAAATTTAAATCAGGAATTTAGAGAAATCGAAAAATACTAAACTTACAACATCTTAAGGATTTCAATCTTGAATATAAATACTATCAGATACTCAAATGATTTTTTGCTTTCATTAGCGTCTTTTTTCATTAAAATTTAAATAATCACAAAATTAAAATAAGATTTTAAATGAAGAAATTGCGAAGTACATATTATACTATTGTACTATACATGTATGATGATGACATTATATCACAATGATACAGTCTTTTGATCCGATTTGATCGATTTGATAAGCTATTAAAAACATTTTGATATGCCAAATTATCACTAATGGAGAAAAAGTGAGAACAAGTTAAGCAAGCGATATTTCTAAATAATGAAAATTGATATTTTTAATAGTTGAAAATTTTAAACTATTTTTTTCGATTCTCCTTATTTTGTTTTAAAATAGAATATAAGTGATGAAATGAAGAAAACAAATAGAAATAAACAACGATGAAACTTTCTTATCACTAAAGAAAATTAATATTATCATTGATTAAATTATTGATTTTAATGATAGAAATGCTTTATAATATCATACTAATACGAAAATTGAGAAAAACAATGTTATATTTAAAAGTAATCATTGGTTATATTTAAAAAAGAAATGTTAAATGCAATAATGATAATAATTAATGGAATGAAGAATTGATAATTGTGATAATATATCAGTGATAATAATGATAACAGTATTACAAATAAGTTGCCAGAATAATAACAATGATAATTATTATGCAACAACGTTTAGAGAAAAGAAATAAAACTTTTTTGTTTTATAGAAATAACCTGTCTAAAAAATAGTAATGAGAATAAAATAGAATTGCACACTTAAATACTTAAAATATAAGCAAAAGACACAGTTGAAAATTAACGATACCTTAAATTTAAATGATTCAATTTATTAAAACAATTCAAATTAATACAATTACTTCAAATTTGAAGCATCAAATAGCTAAGGTGTAAATGCTATATGTTCACCGACCGTATTGAAGAAAAATAATGATATGATTAAAAATTGTTTGCATTAATAGCATAGTGAATTGCTGTCATATTTGTATTGAATTATCAAACGATAATCTTTGATCCATTTTTCTATGATTGATAATTTTCGACGATTTGTTTATTTATTGAAAAAAAAAGAATTTTTTTATTTCAATAAATCTCCTCGTATTGCTTATCATTAATATTATTATAACTATTGCTACTATTGCTATTATTACTACTAAAATAATAATTATTATTGCTATTGTTTATCATTATCATCATCATCATCACCACAATTAACACCACAATTATCATTATCATCTACACCATCAACATCAATTTTTATCACTAATTGAAAAAAAATTTGTCAAGATGATAGGTGTCACAAGTGAACAGACAGACATACACACACACACACACACACACACGCACACACAAATGACAAAAATGTGAACAGGCAGGTATCCATCCATCCATCCATCCGATAGTTGCGCTGTGCGAACAAACAGACAAAACGCGCAACCCATCAATATTACAATTAAGTTCTTTTTTTAATTTAAAAATATTTCTTCCACTAATTCTAACAATCTCTCCTCTTTTAATGTTAATTTTATTCGTTACTTTCTCTCTTCTACCATTTTGTTGAAATATTTGTTCATTTTGATCGTTGTCCTAATTTTTGTTATTATCATCTCTTTCTTTTTATTTTCATCTTTTCTTTCTCATTTCCACTTTTTCTTCTTCTTCTATTATTCTTTCATTCTTCATAAATTCTTTTAATTTATTAATTTGCTAATTAATACATCTAATATTTCATTAATTACTAATTAATACACCTAATATTAATGCATACATATATATAAATATATTTTTAAAATTAGTTGTTTGAATTATTTAAAGAATGAAATACTTTTTCCGAAAGAGAGAGAGAGAGAGGGAGAGAGAATAATTTTAAGAAAAACAATAATAATATGGTATCTTTGATTTATTGATATATAAATCAAAAACTTTAATTAACAATTATAAATGATTATAAAGAAAGAGAAGAGAAGGAAAAGGAAAGAAAAGAGAGAAAGAGTAAGAGATAGAGGAAAAAAAGAGGTGTAATGAAGAAATTAAATGAAAAATACAGTACCCAATGAAATTGCATTCATTTACTTCTGTTAATTAACCATCGATGAATGCCATTTATGACAGTCACAAGAAGTAAACAATTTAATAACAAGAAAAAAATGAATTAAAAGATACAATTTTTTCAATATTGGAAATTAAATATAAATTATGGAAATAGTTTACTTAATATTCATATTTATAAATTCTAATTAACTATATGTTATAATAGAAATGAATAATTGAAAATGATTTCTTTTATCGTTGATTAAATTTTTAATGTATTATTTGTCTATGAGGTTTTTTTTATGGGGCAGATTTATCATAAAATAGTATTATAAATATTAATTAAAAATTATTTCATCAAATTTGTAATTAATTAAAAATTATTTCATTAAATCTATAAATATGAATTTAAAATTTTTTAAGTTATGAATAATCTTCTTAAGAATTAAGATTGTAATTAAAAAATAATAATAATAATATCCAATAATATTATCTCTGTCTTTGCTTCATGCAATAGAGAAAGAAAAATAAGCCGTTTACATTACTAATATAATAATGTTTTCAATGTTACACTTACTTCTACAATATCGTTATTTTTTACTGTTACAATAAGATTATTCGTTCAATAAAAGAATCACCGATCTCTTCTACTGTTAATTGTTGCACAAAAACAAATGAATTAACCAAATTCAATCGTGTTCATTTGGAACAATGTTTGTTTCTATCCCACGCACATGCACACCCACACACATACACACACCCACATACATACATAACATACATATATATTATACTTACACAAACAAGGCAAATGATATAAAAATGAATTGAATTGAGAAGTGGAACGGATGAATGGTTGGAGTGTGGTAAGATTTGATCGGTGGTCCATCATCATAAGTAGAAGTGTATGGTCTGTCCCATCTATTTATAAGTCTGTACAGTCATCATTCGTTCGTTACGCGAAATGAATTTGCATCATTTCTTTCACTACCTCGCTTCCCACTCAAGGTGACAAAATTCAAAGGTCAGTACTTTCATTGAATTGCGCGAAATTCGGTCATTTCATTTTTTTTCCCTCTCTTTCCCACTCTTAAAACGGGCGATCACGACTATTACGAGATGAAGTTCACCTGTCCAGACACATATGCCTTTTTCCTCTTACTCATTTATTTCATTCTTTTATATCATCAATCTGTCTTGAGAGTATTCATCCATCCATTTCCTCATTTTTCCCCTTCAACCTTTTCAATCTCTTCCACTCCTAAACCCTATACCTCCCTTTCCTCTCTATCAAAACTACTAATTGTTCTGAAGGTCATTGCTACCACATATAGACAGATATATATGACTGGACAGCGCTCTCGAGAACTTTGATGAATGAATGATTACCAAAAGATGGTGAATGAATGAATGAATGAATGTCAAAGCGGTCATTCTTCATTTTACATCATTCCAATTCTATTGTATATAGTGAATACAATAAAATCAAATACGACAAATAATCGTAATTAGTAATTGTTTTATGAATGAATTTGTCAAGGTAATATTAATTTTTAATAATTTGCCAATAATAATTAAACATTTATAAGTTTAAGTAAAAAATATAACGATAAATTTTTAGCAATTAATCTATAAATAATAGTTAGATTTACTTAATTATCTTATATTATCAATTAATTAATTAATATTATATAAGGTATAAATGAATTTTAATGCTAATTAATTTAATTTGAAAAAAGGTAAGAAAGCTTTTGCTTTCATTTTTATAAATAAATTTTAGACGGAAAAACAGAATGAAACAAAGTGCAAGCAAAATGGTACGTACAGACAATATTTGTTTGGATGACTTTGAAAAAGCAAAGCAAACATTTATATATTTTATATGTATGTATGTGTATGTGTATGTGTATGTATATCTATCTATATGATTATATTATGCATATGTATGTGTGTATGTGTGTGGGTGGTAAATAGTTGAAATTGCAAAAAAAGTTTCGTTGAAAGAACTCATTGGAATAATCTCAAACAAATATATATATGTACATTGTATAGGTATATTCCAACTATTTCAAAGTGAAACGAAGAGAGAGAGAGAGAGAGAGAGGGAAATGATCTAACTAATGTATAAAGGTAACAACGATGACGTCGGCTGACAGGAATGAAATGTGATGTGATGAATACAAAAGTGTAATAAATGAAATTTCGAGAATGAGACGAGCATAATTCATATTCATATGTAATGGAAGAAAGAGTAATATATTGGTATTAATATGAAATGAATGAAAGAAATTATAATATATATGCGTGTATATAAAATCAAAAATAAACAATTAAATAGGCATATAAAATATAATAGATAATATATTTTATATACAGAGAAACAGCCAGTTTATCTGCCAGCCATCCTTTTTATATTCCCTTTGACTCGTCCATCGCCCTCTTCCTTCAATAGATAATTCAAAATCGATAAAACTTTGATTGGAAAAATCGGAACAATAGGATTGTGAAATTTTTATAGATTATGAAAAGTAATAATACACTTTAGTGGTATATATATATATGTATAAATTATTTTCAATAATATGATATTTCAATAAATAAATATAATTAAATAAAAAAATATAATTAATTATAATATGTAATTTCAATAAAATTATAATTAATTATAATATGATCAAGTTTTAACAGAAAAAATCTGATAGTTTTTGCTATGAAATAATTAATTACTGTATTCGTAATTGTTATAAAATAATTAATTAGTATTCGTAATCCTTAGAAATAACTAATTTGCTATATTCATAATCGTTATGAAATAATTAATCACTTTATTCCATATATATTCATACATATCATTCGATGAAGTTTAATCAATTATTGCTAATATCAATTAATCTAAAAATTATTCAATTAATTAATCTTTTCAAAAT